AACTATGTGGCCAAGTGTTGGCCAATTGAGTGTATACTCGGAGCATCCAGCACTGGGCACCGCACGGTGTCATCAAGTGCTTAGTGGTCTCCTTTGAGGCTCCACCTGTGCTCAGAAGGGCCAAGAGCAGAGATAAAGGCCCAGGAGTCTCTGCCCTCAAGAAGTCCTCAAACAAGAGAGAAGAGAGGGTGTGTACAACCAATGTTAGTCCAAGGCAGGACATGGAGGGGCCAGAACTCTGCTGCTGAGGTCCCCAGCCAGAAAAGTTAGCACATTCAAAGATTAAAACCAAAAAAAGTAAGGCAATAGCAAGCTGGAGCTCCACAAAGTTATATGTACCAGCTTGTTACGCAAAGGAGTTTTGCGTATAACCCTTCTTGAAGAAGCCCTAGAAACTGATAGCTTTTCAAGGTAAGGGGACAAAGAAAAATTAAAGGCAAAAGTATTAAGCATAGAATTCACTTGACAAGCAGACTTTATGTGAAAGGAAATTGTTTCCTCTGACTTAAAAAAAGCACTAGCAAATACATAAAATTCCATTTCAATAAACTTGCGATTTCTTCTAAGCCCAGGTAACAAAAATTTAAGTTATATTTAATACAACCAATTTATTATGCTTCAAAAGAATTTACCCAGATTTTTAGAGTTGGTCCAAAGAGAATATGCCTTGTATTTGAAGAGTTCCTTCTACATTTAGATTCAGAGTTTCCTATGAAAAATTTTTAGACCTTACATTTCACAAGGGGAAAAACAGCAAAACAAACCCAAAGGTCACCACAAAAGCACCCCAATTCTCTATCTGGATGCAACCTATTAGCCTTTAGCATAAATTGAGTTCACACTTTAAAATGAGGTAATTAAAAATATTTGAAATGGCAGCAAAACAATGGTCAGTTTTTGACAATCCAAAGAAAAAAAGAAAGAGTGACATGATTAGCATTGGTCAGCCTAAGTCTAATGACATCTGATCATCACATTTCCCTTGGGTAAGGTACAAGAACACCTACGACAATTAAGAGATCTCAGCAAGAATTCTAACTCTTCCTGTGTCAGCAAGACAGGCCATGAAAGCACCTGTAACAACGGCTGATAAATCCACAGCGGCATTTATAAATGTCAGAACGTACTTTTAGATAAAATGTAGTTGGTTAGGCCAGAGGCTTCCCTAACAGCAACCCACTGAAGAGTGGTGGTTCTCCAGGTGTGCCTCTTGTCTCCTCCCCACCAGCAGCATAAGCCACACCTGGGAACTCGTTAGCCGTGCAAACTCCCTGACCTCCTGCCTGGCAATCTGGTTTACCAAATCCTCTAGGTAGTTGTGATTTGAGGGCACTGCTGTGGAAGATATTACAGAGGTTTGCATGTAAAACCAAGCACAAAAAGCCCAATTCAGTGTATCAGGTTATTCCCATTTTGGTTGACTCAACCTCCACTTTCATTGCCCATCCCTTTTAGTGGGCAGCCCAAAGAGTAGGGCCCTGTTCAAACACACTTTCAAAAGGCCCTTACAGATACGGCTAATGGAAAAAGTCATTTATTTTTCATACGTTACCATAGTAACAGGAAGCATCATTTACTCCCATAAGAAAAGTCCCCTTTTCAGGCAACATTAAGTATTTACAGAAAGATCAATTATCCTGAGGAAACCAAATTTTGGAAAAGCAAATATGGGAAACAGCCTCGAAGGCTTCTATATACACCTTTATAGCCCATGTTCTAAGTGAATTTTTCCTAATATGGCTGTCCAATAAGGAAACCGTGTCCTGGGCCAACCTCCACTGTCTACACTGAAGACATAATTTCCATGCAATAGAGAAATATCTTACTTCATGCCCCCTACTGGTCACTCAGTCCCAAATCCACAGGGAAGCTGACCGGTTTCATCTCTACACATCCTTAACAGTACTAAGATTGCCTTCTTTATAATTTATAAATAGCCTCATCTTTACCATCTCATCTGATTCTCATAACAACCTGTGAGGTGGGTATAGTTTTATTATTTCCACTTTACAGATGAGAAAACTGGAACTTAGTGCAGGCTTCAGTAAACTACTGAATATTACAGAGGACACAAATACTTTGCATCAAAAATTAAAGAATTTGTGATGTCCAAAAGAACTCCCAAACTTGCTTGAATTTGTCATCTGCCAAATGATATTCATGAAAATCATTAGGCAGATTTTTAGGTCAGGTGGTATTTTTCTGGCTTGAGAGGGATGGGGAGCAGGGAGGTGAGTTGAGTAAGACAGACAATTCTCCCAGTTATAAAATTGACAAACCTGCAATGAAATTCTGTGGGGTTCATATAACAATGTCGATAATGTTGGTGGCGCTAAGATTAATTAAGCTCTTACTATGTGCCAGGCACCAATCTTATGTTCATTAAATACATCCAACAACCCTATTAATATCACCATTTTAGAGATGAGAAAAGGCACAGAGAAACCAAGTAACTTGCCCAAGATTACACATCTAGCTTCCTGGACACAGAGGAGGATGTGGGACTGGAGTTTGTCCTGCCAGCAGTGGAAACCTGACATGGGAGGGCAGCTACCACAGGAACCTGGATTATTTTTCCAATATTGCCATTTAAGTCTCCACACTCTCTCCACCAAAACATCAATCAATGCTCAGTCAGGTTCCAAGTAATCAGGAGCATCAATAGCTGGTTCCTTCTCAGACTGTTCCTATGAAAATGGGGAAGGAGGGGAGAGATCTTGGTTCTCTAGATTTTGGTTAGTGATGGAACACTGGCTGGTTTGCCTGGAACTGCCTTCAACTAATTTAAGAAAATTAGAGAGGAAAGCAGCTCTGGAGGAAATGTGCAAATTAAAGAGGCATGTGGCACTGATGCGTATTTAGTAATCTAGCAGAAAGTGAAGTGGGAGGCAGAAGTGCTAGTAACTTTTTTTTTTAAGAATTATAAATAAAAAGGAATCCTCACTGGTGTAAATTACTCTTGCTTTCTTTTTCCCTGACTTTTCAACTGCTCACATTTTGGAATTATACGATCCAGTTTTTACACGGTGATTCATCTTTTAAGTTTATACATCTTTTAAGAAAGGAAACAAAGATCAAATTGAACATTTAAGCAAAAGAGAACAATTAGATGACGAATGAATGCAGTCTTCATGGGCAAGTATACTATGATGGATGGAGGTGCGACAACTTGCAAAGGCTTCCTCAAGTGTGTTTACCTTCACTGTTCCTGCCTCTAACCTTCACTGAATAACCTAAGACCGCCTTGAGGTCCTAGGAATTCAACAGAAAACCCAATTTAACATCAAGTTCCATAGTATTCCACATAATCTCTCCTCAAGGCAAAGTCCCAAACCTGAGAGATGGGACCATAGCAACCACAGTAAGGAGACTTTTCATAGCCACATTCCTTTCACATTCTAAGAATCCTGGCCCAACTACTTACTAACTGTAGGCCCTGTGTGCTTCACGTTCCTCCTCTATAAAATGGGGATGATAATTTCTTCCTCAGGTTGGTGTGAAAATCAGATGAGTTAATACAAGTCAAACACTTAACACAGTGCCTGACAAAGAGTAAATGCTCGAGCTTTGGTCATGATTACTAGAATGACAACAACATTACAACAGGGAACTGCACATGGGAGGCTTCTATTGTATTGGTAATGTTTTATTGCTTTAGGCAAAAGAGAACAGATAAAACAACCAGACTCTAAATCAGAACAACCATCGGAAAAAAAAAAAGGTCTTAGAAAAAGCTTAGAAAAAAGCTGTCCATATCATGCCACCTGTTGGTGAGTTTCATGCGAGGGTACAGCTGGGAGGATCCGGTTCCACCACTGCTCTTTCCTTCCCTTAGATGATGCCTCCCCTTAAGCTGCGGTTCTTAGGCGGGTCCGTGAACCCCCTGAAACTGTAACAGAACTGGCTAAGGCTCTGCGTGTTTGTGAGGTTGGGTGTATGGGGGCGGGGGGGCGTGGTCCATCGCTTTTCTCAAACTCTAATAGATGACCCTGTGGTGAGCAACTTGCTTCACAAAGTTAAACTCGGGGGATATCGACACAACAATTCATTTCACGAAAGCCGCAACAATAACCAAGATACCTGGGGTGTTAATCTTCTACCTGAACACCAGAGAGACCCAGCACCGCGAAGGTTCATAGCCTGCCAGGTGCTGCGCGGAGCAGCGCCCCTCACTACTTACAGACGCACTTGCACCTCGCCACGTACAGACGGACTTGCGAACTTCACCGCTGAAAACTCACCGGCTCCGCAGAATCAAGCCCGGGTTGCGGGCTTGTGGAGTTTACTTCCCCTCCCTTCCCCCATCGTTCGTTCCCATCAAAGAACAAACTCAAAGGAAATTGGCAACGCTTTGTCTAGGGTTTCACTCCTGCCCTCGGCTGACACTTAAACCACTTCTGCCAGGGAAGTTAATTATAAGAACAATTAATCCGCACAAAAATCCAAAATCTACCCCAAAGCTCGAGAGCACTGAAAGTTAGATTAAGGGTGCCTCTGCTGACTGTGAACATCTGCCAGTCGCTGGGGCTTAGGGGTAAGCAGCAGGTATGAAAGGGAAGCAGGCAAGGTCCAGCTGGAGGGTCCGACCCATTTGTGAACTACACGCTACCGACGACGCGAATGAAGACGGGCTTGGAGACAGCGAGGTAAGCAGGTAGGTGTGGGCAAGTGTACCAACACACAGACACGGCGGATTAAAGTTCAAGCCTGTGAGCACACCGCTTCCCCTTCCCAAGTAGGCATTCTCACGCACAACCGGGGCAACCACTTCGCGGGGAGAGCCTGGGAGCTCGACGGTCCCCTCTTTGGAACAGGCTCCCCTAAACCCAGTAAGACCTATTGACTTCCCTTACCTCTTAACCTCCAACCTTTGAAAAGCATTAGCCAACCTCCACTTTCCTAGGTGAGTGCAGAAAACCCCCGAGAAAGAGAAATGGAGAGGACAGGGGAAAGCGGGGTGTCACCAAGGGCAGGGGACGCGCAACAGGCAGCGTACATACCCAGCGCGAACAGGGTGAGCTGTCCAGCCGAGGTGACCATTTTACGGGCAGCAGGCAGCAGGCGCTCCAGCCTCCTGCTCTACCTGCGGTGCCCGAGTGGCGAAGCTGCTCCGCGGTGCAGCGGGGGAAAAGGCGCCGGCGAAGCAAGGCCAGCCCCTGCGCAGGCGGGCGGAGGGAGGACCTCTGCTGGCATTCACTCTACCGCACTGCCGGCCAGGCGGAAATGGGAAGGCGGTTACCGTCACCTCTCCACCACTTGTCGACCGGGCACGGCAGACCACTCTCCCGCCCCAATGGGGGTGTCCCCCTAAGGGCATAGGGGGTGGAGGTTTGGGGCTGGGGGCGGAGAAGCTTCACGCACGATATAGGGCGCGGGCGGCGGGGCGTGGCAAACGGGGACTCTCTGAGCCCAGCCTCGGGAGCCCGTCACCTAGGCCAAGTAAAAGGCAGGAAGCGCCTGACTTCAGACCCCACCCTCAGACTAGTAGTGTAGTGCAGCCCCGAGCTCGTGCGCCAGGGGCTGGTGCCTGCTGCGGAGGATCGTCCCAGCGCGGTGGCAGCTTCTAGTCTCTAGGCGGCGGAGTGGAGCAGCCCTGGAGAGGGTCACCTGTGCCCAGGGCCACTGCAGAGGCGCTCCCCAGAGCGAGCGAGCTACTGTAGACGAGGCCTGGAATGCGACCCGTGCGCTTTGTTAGCCGCCTGCCAAGACTTGGACCAAGGAAAGTGTTCCCCAGAATCAAGTGAAGAATTTGTTAAACCACATTTCCTACCTGCGCCCCATCCAAGAAAACACTTGATTCTAGGGACGTTTGCCACTGGAGCACAGCCACCCCACATTCCCAGGATGGTACATTGTTAAGATTAGCGCCTCTTCGTACATATGGCCTGGGGCTGGTAATGATGATGGGTCTGTCTATGGGGCATCTGATTACCGCTACTGCTACCCCCCAGCCCAGCTCAGCCCACTTCACGCCACAGGCAGCGGAGGCCAGGAGCCGGTAGTTTGCCGACAAGTGTACCCTGAGAGACAGATGCATATGCTGGAGCCACCTGGGTGGCCCTTTCAGGATTTGTGGCCTTAAGCTGGCCCCTGGTACTAGAATTTGGAGAAGTGAGGGGACAGAGGGAAGACATTCTGAGCAGAGAATGAAAGAACCACAGGTTTCCTGGGACCACCCATGGGAGACAGTATAACCCGGGAAGGCAGTGACCAGTCATATTCTCCAGATGACCTGAGCTCAGGGACTAATTTTGTTCTCTTAACCCCTCGGTGGGGTGGGAAGGAGAACAGGCGGAATCTCTTGCTATTTCTTTGGCTCCAGGTGCAGATTCTCATGGCTGACCAGCTAAGTTTGTTTCATATGAGCTGAGAGGCCTAGTTTCAAAAAGGAAGCACCAGGCCATTGGCTTCCAAGTTTGAGCAGGGAGCACCAGGGGGGAAAGAGATTCTGAAAACAGTATAAATTTATATTGCAAAACCATTCTTCAGCAGTGATCTGGGTTGAGGATTTTATGGTAAGTGCTGGGGTACCTATGCCCACAGCCATACATGTACAGGGCACATATACACTTTCTTTAGTAAGTGGTCCCTGACCCCGTTCAAGCATCTGTGTTCACCTTCTTCAGACTAATATTGATCTGTTCTGGTGGCTCATCTGTCTCCTTCCTGGTGGCTCATTAGTCTGGCTTTGGCTACAGAGGTTGAGGATTTTATGGTAAGTGCTGGGGTACCTATGCCCACAGCCATACATGTACAGGGCACATATACACTTTCTTTAGTAAGTGGTCCCTGACCCCGTTCAAGCATCTGTGTTCACCTTCTTCAGACTAATATTGATCTGTTCTGGTGGCTCATCTGTCTCCTTCCTGGTGGCTCATTAGTCTGGCTTTGGCTACAGAAAGGAAGAAATCAGTTTTCCAGG